CAGTCTCCCTACCTGAGCTAGCGGGGGTAGTCTCGGGCCTGGCGTTGGAGTCTCAACGGCTTCTTGTGCTGGGGGACTTCAATATCCACGCCGAGACTGCCTTATCGGGAGCGGCTCAGGACTTCATGTCTACCATGGCAACCATGGGGCTGTCCCAGCAAATATCTGGCCCCACCCACAGTGCTGGACATACATTGGATTTGGTTTTCTGCCAGGGATGGGAGGAAGGTGGCGGTGTTGAGGAGTTATCCATCTCTCCGTTGCCATGGACCGACCACCACCTGGTCAGCTTTAGACTCACTGCACCCCCTAACCTCCGCAGAGGTGGAGGACCCATTACGTTGGTCCGCCCCAGGAGGCTTATGGATCCGGATGGATTCCTGATGGCTCTTGGGGAATTTCCCGCCACCTTCGGTTGGTGATCCTGTTGATGCTCTGGTCGCTCTCTGGAATGGGGAGATGACTAGAGCAATAGACACGATCGCTCCAGAACGTCCCCTCTCAAGTAGCCGAGCTAAACCAGCTCCTTGGTTCACTGAGGAGCTGGCAGCGTTGAAGCGAAAGAAGAGGGAACTAGAGAGCGTGTGGCGTTCGGATCCGAGCGAGCCAAATCGAAAACGGTTTGTGTCCTTTTTAAGGGCATATGCCGCGGCAATAAAAGCCGCAAAGAAGTTTCTTTGCGGCCACTATTGCGTCTGCAAAAAACCGTCCGGCGGAGTTGTTTCAGATTGTCAGAGGTCTTTTAACTCCCACCACCTCAGGCGGGAGCCCTGACAATTCGGTCACGCGCTGTGAAGCATTTGCTCGGTTCTTTGCAGACAAAGTCGCTTTGATCCGTTCTGGGCTGGACACCATGTTAAATGCAGTCTCTGAGGATGTGACACGAGCACCTGCTTGTCCTATTTTGATGGATTCATTTCAATTGGTGAAACCCGAGGATGTGGACAAGATACTTGGAGGAATGAGAGCAACCACATGCATCCTAGACCCCTGCCCATCCTGGCTTCTAAAGGAGGCCAGAGGGGGATTGGCCGAGTGGGTGGAAGTGGTGGTTAATGCCTCCCTTCGGGAAGGCAAAATTCCAGCCAGCTTAAAACAAGCTGTAATAAAACCGCTGTTGAAAAAACCATCACTAGACCCCACTCAATTCGTCAACTATCGGCCTGTTTCCAATCTCCCCTTTTTGGGCAAAGTCCTGGAACGTGTGGTGGCCTCACAACTCCAGGCATTCTTGGTAGACACGGATTATCTGGATCCGGCACAGTCTGGCTTTAGGCCGGGGAATGGTACCGAGACAGCCTTGGTCGCCTTAGTGGATGATCTGCGTCGGGAGCTCGACAGGGGGAGTGTGTCCCTGTTGGTGCTGCTCGACCTCTCAGCGGCCTTCGATACCGTCGACCACGGTATCCTTCTGGGACGCCTCGCGGGGATGGGTCTCGGAGTTACTGTTTTGCAGTGGCTCCGGTCATTCCTAGAGGGTCGGTCTCAGAAGGTGTTACTGGGAGACACCTGTTCAACCCCACAACCTTTGTGTTGTGGGGTTCCCCAGGGCTCAATTCTGTCTCCCATGTTGTTTAACATCTACATGAAGCCGCTGGGGGAGATCATCCGGAGTTTCGGGGTACGATGTCATCTGTACGCAGATGATGTCCAACTCTGTCACTCCTTTCCACCTGCTACTAAGGAGGCTGTCGAAGTCCTGAACCGGTGCTTGGCCGCTGTGACGGTCTGGATGGGGGCGAACAAATTGAAATTGAATCCAGACAAGACAGAGGTACTCCTGGTCAGTCGTAAGGCCGAACAGGGTATAGGGTTACAGCCTGTGTTGGATGGGGTCGCACTCCCCCTGAAGACACAGGTTTGCAGTTTGGGTGTGATCCTGGACTCATCGCTGAGCCTGGAACCCCAGGTTTCGGCGGTGACCAGGGGAGCATTCGCACAGTTAAAACTTGTGCGCCAACTGCGACCGTACCTTGGGAAGTGACTTAGCCACGGTAGTCCACGCTCTGGTTACATCCCGCCTTGATTACTGCAACGCTCTCTACGGGGGTTGCCTTTGAAGACAGTCCGGAAGCTCCAACTAGTCCAACGGGCGGCAGCCATGGTACTAACAGGAGCGGGGCAGGGAGCACACAACTCCTCTGCTGCACCAGCTCCACTGGCTGCCGATCTGCTACCGGGCTCAATTCAAAGTGCTGGCGTTGGCCTTTAAAGCCCTAAACGGTTCTGGTCCAACTTACCTATCCGAACGTATCTCGGCCTATCAGCCCACCAGGACCCTAAGATCTTCTGGAGAGTCCCTGCTCTCTATCCCGCCGGCTTCCCAAGCGCGGCTGGTGGGAACGAGAGACAGGGCCTTTTCTGTGGTAGCCCCTCGGCTTTGGAACACCCTCCCTTCAGAGATACGATCGGCTTCTTCGCTGATGGTTTTCCGGAAGAGGTTAAAAACATGGCTGTGTAGTCAAGCGTTTAACTAGTTATCAAACACTGAATCCATGGACAATTTGGACTGGTCAATTACGGACAACGATCTCTGGACTGCGATTTTTGTGATGAGAAGCATGAAGTTTTATTGGTGGCCCAATAATTCGTATTGTTTTATATGTTGCTGTTTTTAAATTGTATATTGCTTTTATCTGTTGTTAAACCGCAATGAGTCGCCGTTCCAGGCTGAGATACTGCGGTATATAAGTGTATTAAATAAATAAATAAATAAATAAATAAATATTTTAAAATTACCAGGGAAGGAGATTCCAATGAAGTTCTTCCTAGCATTTAGGTGGAGTCTCTTTTCCTGCAGTTTGAATCCACTGCTCCATCTCTTAGTCCAGTGGTTCTCAACCTTCCTAATGTTGCGATCCCTTAATGCAGTTCCTCATGTTGTGGTGACCCCCAACCACAACATTATTTTTGTTGCGGCTCCATAACTGTAATTTTCATTCACTGGACCAAATTTGGCACACTCAATATGCCCAAATTTGAATAGTGGTGGGGTTGGGGGGATTTATTTTGTCATTTGGGAGTTGTAGTTGCTAGGATTTATAGTTCATTTAAATTCAAGAGCATTCTGAACTCCACCAATGATGCAATTGAACCAGACTTGGCACACAGAACTCTCATGACCAACAGAAAATGCTGGAAGGGTTTGGTGGGCATTGACCTTGAGTTTGGGAGTTGTAATTCACCTACATCCAGAGAGCAGTGTGGACTCAATCAATGATGGAGCATTCTGAACTCCACCAATGATGGAATTGGACCAAACTTGGCACATAGGACTCCCATGACCGACAGAAAATACTGGGAGGGTTTGGTGGGCATTGAACGTGAGTTTGGGAGCTGTAGTTCACCTACATCCAGAGAGCACTGTGAACTCAAACAATGATGGATCTGGACCAAACTTGGCACGAATACTCAATATGCCCAAATGTGAACATTGGTGGAGTTTGGGAAAATAGACCTTGACATTTGGTAGTTGCTGGAATTTATAGATCACCTGCAATCCGAGAGCATTCTGAAGCACACCAATGATACAATTTGGCCAAACTTCTCACACAGAGCCCCCATGATCAACAGAAAATACTGTTTTTGATGGTCTTTGGTAACCCCTTTGACACCCCCTCACGACCCCCCCAGGGGTCCCGACCCCCAGGTTGAGAAACACTGTCTTAGTCTCTGAAACAAAAAAAAAAAAAACAAGCCAGTTCCAACTCTACTGCTATCTCACCACCTGTTTTTATAATAATAATAATCATCATCATCATCATCATCACCTTTCTTTATACCCCGCCACCATCTCCCCAAAGGGACTCGGGGCGGCTTACATGAGGCCAAGCCCGTCAAATACAAATACAATACATCAACAAACAAGCAAGCAAATAAAACAATACAAATAATACAATTGCAATAACACACAAAAGATTTAAAAACATTATGGCAGGGCCACATGTAGATTAAAATTTTAAAACCCTAGGCATGTACAGAGTAGGGTATGTCTAGGCATGGGGGTTTTAAAGAGTGATATGGGGGGATCAGACCAGCGGATAGATAAATTGCTTCAGAGGATGTATGGAAGGAAATTGGTCAGATCAGGCATTATTTCCTTCATTCAGGGGAAGGCACACTGGAATAGCCACGTTTTCGAGCTCCTTCTAAAGACTGCCAAGCTGGGGGCTTGTCTGATATCTGTAGGTGGAGAGTTCCAGAGTCGGGGGGCCACCATAGAGAAGGCCCTCTCCCTCATCCCAACCAATCGCGCCTGCAAAAGGGGTGGGAGCGAGAGCAGGGCCTCTCCAGATGAACAAAAAGATTGCGTGGGTTTGTAAACAGAAATGCGGTCACGCAGGTAGGCGGGTCCCAAAACATTCAAGGCTTTGTAGGTAAGAACCTGCACCTTGAATTGGGACCAGAAGATGAACGGCAGCCAATGGAGCTCCTTAAACAGGAGGGTTGACTGCTCCCTGTAAGTCGCTCCAGTATTTTATCCCTAGTATTTTAATCTGTACATGCGGCCCACTCATTGTTCTGTGTCTTGAATGGTTTTATTTTAATGTAATTTTATATTGGTTGCAATATTCTTATAGTGTATGTTTTATGTAAGTGATTATGTTGTTGCTTATGTTTTGATTTGATTTTTTTGCTGCTTTGTTGGGCTTGGCCTCATGTAAGCCGCCCCGAGTCCCCGTTGGGGAGATGGTGGCGGGGTACAAATAAAGTTTATTATTATTATTGGGTCCAATCGTAAGCTCACAGGAGAGTGGCTCTGAGAGGTTATTAATGAGAGCTCATAATTTTTCAATTCCTTTCTTGGCTTGCCTTGTTTGCCAGTTCAATCTGGAAGCTGCTCATGTGTGTGTGTGGAGGAGTTGGGCAGTCAAAGTCCTAAATAGTAACATTTCCAAATTCTGGAAAGTGTTTTGGAGCGCAGGAAGAATCCTCTTGCATCCTTACCAGCACATGTAATGCATCGATTGATGGCAGGCTTTTCTTTGCTTTCTTTTCAGTGCAAAAAGAAGCACACCCTGGTGTGTCCGGACTTCTCCAAGCATGGGATCTGCCCCAGAGGCTCTCGTTGCAAACTGCAGCATCTGCAGCGGAAGCACACAGCCGGACCATCCAGCACCAAAACCGCCTTCCAGCGAAGCTCCTCTGAGCCAAAGCGGGGCCGCCCTGGAGTAAAGACCACCAGGTAAGAAGGCATGGCAGCCAAGGGCCACTACTATTAGTTGGATCTGGAATTGGTTAAGTGACCAAACCCAAAGGGGGCTCAATAATGGTTCCACTTCATCCTAGAAAGAAGTGAAGAGTGGAGTGCCACAGGGGTCGGTCCTGGGCCCTGTCCTATTCAACATGCCATGTGAAAAAGATCTTGGAGTCTTCGTGGACAGGAAGTTGAATATAAGCCAAGAGTGTGATGCAGCAGCTGAAAAAGCCAATGGGATTTTGGGCTGCATCAAAAGAAGTATGACTGAGGGAAGTCATGGTGCCTCCCTATTCTAGATTGAGGGAAGTCATGGTGCCTCTCTATTCTGCTTTGGTTAGACCTCTTTACCTGGAATACTGTGTCCAGCTCTGGGCACCACAGTTCAAAAAAGATATTGAGAAGCTGGAAAGTATCCAGAGGAGGGTGACTAAAATGATCAAAGGTCTGGTGACTATGAATCCCTCTGAGGAGCATCTTAAAGAGCTGGAGATGTCTAGCCTGCAGAAGAGAAGGTTGAGAGGAGACATGAGAGCCATGTATAAATATGCGAAGGGGTGTCATAAGGAAGAGTGAGCAGGCTTGTTTTCTGCTCCCCTGAAAACTAGGGCTCAATGGAGCCATGGGTTGAAATGACAGGAAAGGAGATTACCCTTGAACATTAGGAAGAAATTCCTGATCATACGATTCAAAGTGCTGGTTTTGACCTATAAAGCCCTAAACGACTCCGGCCCAGTTTATCTGTCTGAACGGATTCTCCCCTATGAACCATCAAGGATATTAAGATCTTCTGGGGGGGGGGGGCTGTTCTCGGTCCCACCACCCTCGCAATCACGGTTGGTGGGGACGAGGGACAGGGCCTCCTCGGTGGTGGCTCCCCGGCTTTGGAACTCCCTCCCACTAGAGATCAGATCTGCCCCCTCCCTCCTGACGTTCAGGAAACTACTAAAGACCTGGCTCTGGAATGTGGCATTTGAGGACTGAACCTATAACCTCCTTCCTTGTGCTGAACTGTGATGAACTGTGGCTATGAGTATGACTATGACTGTGACTGGATTGACGACTTGGCTTAGGTAATTGTGATGATGATGTTTTATTGTATTTTAGTGTACTATTTTAATATGTAATGACTTTGCACTTTGTTGTACCTATATATTACTGTACTTTCTTATATGCTGTAAACCGACCTGAGTCCCTTGTTGAGGTGAGAAGGCTGGTATAGAAAACTTCTAAATAAATAAATAAATAAATCTGTTCAACAGTGGAACTCTCTGCCTTAGAGTGTGGTAGAGACTCCTTCCTTGGAAGCTTTTAAAGAGATCTTGGATGGCCATCTTTCAGGGATACTTTGATTGTGCTTTTCCTGCATGTCAGGGGATGGACTAGATGGCCCATGTGGTCTCTTCCAACTCTATTATACTATGATTCTATTATCACCTTTCCTTAGAATGACAGAGTTGAAAGAAACTTCCAGGGTCATCCCGTCCAATCCCATGGTACCATGCAGGAAAAGCACAATCAAAGCACCCCGACAGATGGCCATCCAAAGAAGGAGCCTCAACTACACTCTGAGAGTTCTACTGTTGAGCAACTCTTCTCACAGTCAAGAAGTTCTTCCTAATGTTTAGGTGATGCAGCTCAAAATCCCGTTGGCCCAAAATCCCGTTGATGCTGTTGTCTCATGTTCAAATTTTTGTCTACTAAAGATCTCTTTCCCATGTCGAGCCAGGCGTCACCCATCCTGTATCCGTGCATTTCAATTCTTCTGCTTAAGTGAAGTATCTTACATTTCTCCTTGTTGAAATTCAGGTTAGTTTTGGCCCAGCTCAAAGGTCATTTTGGATCCTGATCCTGTCCTCTGGAGTATTAGCTCTCCCTCCCAATTTGGTGTCATCTGCACACTTGATAAGAAGCACGCCCTCTAAACCTTCCTCCAAGTCATGAATAAAGATGTTGAACAGCTCTGAAAGGCCCAAGAAAGAACCCTCCTTATGCCCCCTCCCCCCAACTAGGCACTTCTTTCCAAGATGAAGAAGAGGAGCCATTGGAGCCACACGTTTCTCAACTTGGGGGTCAGGACCCCTGTGGGAGTTCACAAGGGGGGGAGTTTCAGAGATGACACCAAAGACCATCAAATACATATTTCTGATGGTCTTGGGAACCCCTTTGGCAGAGAAGGCTGAAGATCTCTCCTCCTGTCCTTCACTTCCTTTTTGGAAACAGACAGTGAATCATCCCAGCAAAAGTTTTCCTCCTGCTTTCTGGATGTAGGTGGACTACAACTCAAAACTCAAGGTCAATGCCCACCAAACCTTCCAGTGTTTTCTGTTGGTCATGGGAGTTCTGTGTGTCAAGTTTGATTCAATTCCATCATTGGTGGAGTTCAGAATACTTTCTGATTGTAGGTGAACTATAAATCCCAGCAACTACAACTCCTAAATGTCAAGGTCTATTTTCCCCAAACTCCACTAGTGTTCACACTTGGGCATTTTGAGGATTCGTGCCAAGTTTGGTCCAGGTCCATCATTGTTTGAGTCCACAGTGTTCTCTGGATGTAGGTGAGCTACAACTCCAAAACTCAAGGTCAATGCCACCAAACCCAAATCCTCCCACCAAAAGCCCTCCTCCTGCTCTGTGGATGTAGGTGAACTACAACTCCAAAACTCAAGGTCAATGCCCACCAAACCCAAATCCTCCCACCAAAAGCCCTCCTCCTGCTCTCTGGATGTAGGTGGACTACAACTCCAAAACTCAAGGTCAATGCCCACTAAACTCTTCCAGTATTTTCTGTTGGTCATGGGAGTTCTGTGTGCCAAGTTTGGTTCAATTCCATTGTTGGTAGAGTTCAGAATGCTCTTTGATTGTAGGTGAACTATAAATCCCAGCAACTACAACTCCTAAATGTCAAGGTCTATTTTCCCCAAACTCCACTAGTGTTCACACTTGGGCATTTTGAGGATTCGTGCCAAGCTTGGTCCAGATCCGTCATTGTTCGAGTCCACTAGATGTAGGTGAACTACAACTCCAAAACTCAAGGTCAATGCCCACCAAACTCTTCCAGTATTTTCTGTTGGTCATGGGAGTTCTGTGTGCCAAGTTTGATTCGATTCCATCGTTGGTGGAGTTCAGAATACTTTTTGATTGTAGGTGAATTATAAATCCCAGCATCTACAACTCTTAAATGTCAAGGTCTATTTTCCCCAAACTCCACCAGTGTTCACACTTGGGCATTTTGAGAATTCGTGCCAAGTTTGGTCCAGATCCATCATTGTTTGACTCCACAGTGCTCTCTGGATGCTGGTGAACTACAATTCCAAAACTTAAGGTCAGTGCCCACCAAACCCAAATCCTCCCACCAAAAGCCCTCCTCCTGCTCTCTGGATGTAGGTGAACTACAACTCCAAAACTCAAGGTCAATGCCCACCAAACCTTCCAGTATTTTCTGTTGGTCACGGGTTCTGTGTGCCAAGTTTGGTTTGATTCCATCGTTGGGAGTTCAGAATGCACTTTGATTGTAGGTTAACTATAAATCCCAGCAACTACAACTCCTAAATGTCAACGTCTATTTTCCCCAAACTCCACTAGTGTTCACACTTGGGCATTTTGAAGACTTGTGCCAAGTTTGGTCCAGATCTATCCTTGTTTGAGTCCACAGTGCTTTCTAGAGGTAGGTGAACTACAACTCCAAAACTCATGGTCAATGCCCACCAAACCCAAATCCTCCCACCAAAAGCCCTCCTCCTGCTCTCTGGATGTAGGTGAACTACAACTCCAAAACTCAAGGTCAAAGCCCACCAAACCCTTCCAGTATTTTCCATTGGTCATGGGATTTTTTTGTGCCAAGTTTGGTTCAATTCCATTGTTGGTGGAGTTCAGAATGCTCTTTGATTGTAGGTGAACTGTTAATCCCAGCAACTACAACTCCCAAATGACAAAATCAGTTTCATCCAGTGAATGTCCACTCAGTTGTAGGGTCTTACAAACAGTGCCGGCTGCTTTGGCGAATGCCGAAGGACACGACTTTGTGACCGGCTTCCTCCCAGGAGCACCTTTAGAGGTGGCTGCGCTTTGCTGTTGAACACGTCAGCATCCCAGCGTCAGCATTTTAAAAAACGGCACCTGGGGGAGGCCGCTGTCCCCAGTGTCCTTGGGGGCCTATCGATTGGGGCATCGCGGTGATGCTGGAGGCTCCTTCCTCCCTCGGACAGGCACTCCGTGGATTCCCCTATTAACTCCCCTGCCTCAAACGGAGCATCTTTCCCCCATGCTGCCTGCAACAATGACAGAACCAATTAATAACAAAACAACAGCAATGTCACTTTTGCACATTTTAATGACACTCATTTTAATTAGGAAGCTTCCTTGAATTTCAGGGGAAAGGTCTTGTCAGCATCACCCACTGTCCCCAAGTTTGGGACTTGGTGCAGCTTACAAACAAAAATGATCACAACATAGCTAGAAATGTATGAAAAGACAACATTGAAAAATAATTATTTGAAAAATAATTTGTCTCACCCTGGTCATTCCACAGATATATAAACCCCCTTTTTTCCCAGTTCCAGCAGACCTCACCTCTGAGGATGCTTGCCATAGATGCAGGCGAAACGTCAGGAGAAATGCCTCTAGAACATGGCCATATAGCCCGAAAAAACCCACAAGAACTGAATTTGGATTTTACATCTCATTTTTGAAATGTTGAGAGCTGTTTTGAATCTCAATCAAAAGATGAAAGTGATATATAAAATTATTATTATTATCATTTTACTGACACAAAAACACAGAATGTCACAGCAAATGAGATATGTAAGCTAGATTTTGTATCACAAAATCACAAGTTGAACATTTCCCAAGCATTTAGACTTATTATTATTATTATGATTTATTATTATTATTTGAAACACAACAAGATGAGTCCACAGCAGACACTCTGCTGGCTATTGTATTGGATCACACGTTGGACCCTTCCCAAGTGTCTAGGACTGTGTGAT